TTTGTGAGATCCCTTTGTAAATCTTTGCAGTCTATTGTGGACTTAACTATCTTGAGTAATTCTGTATCATCTGCAAACTTTGCCACCTCACTTTTTACCCCTTTTTCTAGAACTTGAATATGTTGAACGGCACTAGTCCCAGTACAGATCCTTGGGAAACCCTGCTATTTTCTCTCTCCATTCTGAAAATTGAACATTTATTCCTACCCTTTGTTTCCTGTCTTTTAACCAGTTATTGATCCATGAGAGGACCTTCCCTCTTAACCCAACTGCTTAGTTTGCTTTAGAGCCTTTGGTGAGGGACCTTGTAGGAAGGCTTTCTGAAAGTCCAAGTACACTATATCTCCTGAATCACCCTTGTCCACGTTTGTTGACCCACACAAAGAATTCTACTAGATTGATGAGGCATGATTTCCCTTTACAAAAGTTATGTCGACTCTTCCCCAATAATTTGTTTTCATCTATGTGTCTAATAATTCTGTTCTTTACTATAGTTTCAACCAATTTGCCTGGTACTGAAGTTAGGCTTACCAGCCTGTAATTGCCAAGATCAACTCTGGAGTCTTTTTTAAAAATTGGCATCTTCCAGTCATCTGATACAGAAGCTAATTTAAGTGATAGGTTACATACCACAGTTAGTAGTTCTGTAATTTCATTATTTGAGTTCCTTCAGAACACTTGGCTGAATACCATCTGTTCCTGGTGACTTATTATTGTTTAATTTATCAATTTGTTCCAAAATCTCCTCTACTGACACCTCAATCTGGGACAGTTCTTCAGATTTGTCACCTAAAAAGAATGGCTCATTAACACCCCTTCAGTCAGAAGGGGGAAGCAAAAAAAAAAAAAAAAAAGGTGGAAGGCACCTGCAGGGAGGGTTGTTAGTGGGAAATAGATAGTTGTAATGAACCATAAATCCTGTGTCTCTATTCAGTCCATGATTTTTAGTGACTAGGCAAAGTTATGAATTTAAGCTCCTAGGCTCATCTTTTGAAGGTGTTGTGCAGGTTTTCTTTGAGGATGAAGACTGATAGGTCACATATAGAGAGATTGCTTTGTGAAAAGTGTTTACCCACAGGTGATGTGGTGTGCTTGTCTTTTATCATTTTCCTGTGTGAGTTCATTCAAGAGCATAGAGATTGCCTGGTATCACCCACATTGTATTGGGGTATTTAGTGCCCTGGATGAGGTACACCACATGTTGTGATGGGCATGTGTGGGACCCATGGATCTGAAATGGTGTGTTGTGGGAGGGTGTGTGTGACGCTGTATGGAATCTGGGGGACACTTTAGGATATTATGAATACAAATATTGTAAAATTGCAATGACATATGCCAGGTATGCCATGTAAGATATCTGAAAAAATGTTATAATTTGCCAGATATGATAATCTTGTTTATGTTACTATCACCGTTTGTATTATGAGTTATAGATATGTATGTATGTCTATATTCAAACTTGGGCTATGCTTCTCGGTGACACCCCCAGACAGTTTGGCATCAGCTTTGCCTAGCCTGCTTGATGGCCCCTTAAGGACCATCAGCTATACAACTGATCCATTGAGAAAAGGCAAGGGATACACCTCATGACTCAGCAAGGCATGCATGGGCATGCCTATGGACAGAAAAGGCTTCCAAGCCATGTACTGGGCAGTTTGCGTTGGAACCTAAGAAAGCACAGGCCACATGGCAAAAGACTATAAAAGGCAGCTGCATCTTCTCCATTTTGTCTTCATTCCTGCTTCTTACCTCTATGGAGTAACCTTTCTACAAATGAAGTTCTGAACAAAGTACCGAATGACCCATCCAAGCTGTGGATGTGATCCAGAGGGACTTTCAAGCCAGCAAACTGACGAATACTGCTAGGAACCTCATGGACTTTGAATCTTTGCATGTATGTGACTGCTTTACCATTCAACATCTCTCTTCTTGTTCTTTCTTTTTTCTTTATAACAAACCTTTAGTTTTAGACACTAAAGGATTGGCTGGCAGCATGGTATTTTGGGTAAGATCCAACCCTATACTGACCTGGTAATGTGGCTGACCCTTAGGGGTCAGAAGAACATTTTCTATATGTGAGTAGTGTGACAAAGCTCTGTCCTTGCCTCCGTGGATCCCGCATTTCCTGGTGGATTTCACTAGCCTCAGAGGCTCACTGTGACCCTCCACATAGCCCTTCTCTCTCTAGAGACAAGGGTCACAGTCTACTAAGCCATTTTCATCATAAGCCAGCGAGGGAGGTGAGGAGAAGCTATCCTCTCTTGCACAGTCTCTCTTGTCTCCCAGTCTCAGTGATTAACCAGGGGGGAGGGGAGCCTGGGCCCACCCTCTACTCCGGGCTCCAGCCCAGGGACCCTAATAGTATCAGCTATGGTAGCTGACCTTTTAGAAACCTGACACATACAATTCCCTGGGCTACTTCCCCACAGCAGCCCCCACTTCCTCAAGCTCCACTTCACCCTTACTTCAGGGCCTCCTTCCTTGTGCCTGATATGGGTGTGTACTACTCAGTCTCTCCAACAGCACAACTTCCTCCCACAGCTCCTGACATCCACACCCACCTGACTAACTGGGAGGCTTTTAACTAGTTTCAGCCAATCCCTGACTGGCTTCAGGTGTCCCAATCAACCTAGCCTTCTCCCTGCCTTCTGAAAAGTTCTTAATTGGCCCCAGGTGTCTTAACTGACCTGGAGCAGCTGCCATTTAACTTATCCTGGTACCAGGGATTTGTTTAGCCTGGAGCTAATATATCTATCTCCCACTACTTTTCTATAGCCATCTGGCCTTGCCCCGTCACAGTAGAGTTTTAAAATAACTTCTCACTGTACTGGACCTAGGTGCTGATTGGGAGCTAAGGAACTGGAATGCAATAAAGGCGGCTGTGTGATTTCTTTTTTGCTTCTTAATAACCAGTGTGAGGGATCAGAAGCACAGTTTGTGACTGGTTGGAAGGCTTAACTTCAGTGTTACCCACCAGTCTTGGGAGTATCTGCTCTCCCTTTTGCAGCATGCCCTGACCTTGGCATTTCCAGTGAGGGCTGCCCGAGGCACCCTGGGTCACAGACGGTGTTGATCATTGTAGTAGTGGAGATATGTCTGTAGGTTTTGCATCTGTTCAGGCAGAGCATGGTGCCACTTTGAGTTGGTGTGTCCTGGTCTGTGGCGAGCTTGACTCTGATGATGAGAAGTTGGGAGTTGTTTGAAGACCAGAAGAGGGAGTTAAAGAAATATTTCTTTCATAATGGGGTCCCCATCGAGTATGGTTGTTGTTGTTTGATGATACCCCACATGGGTTCCAGTGGGGTGATAGGTGACACCAGGGGTGTACTCTCTGGTGCTGCAGTTTTATGTCCAAGCCAGGTATTTATAAAGCTTCTCAAATAAAATAAAATAAAATAAAACAAAAAGCTATGTTTCAAGCAGGCAAAACATGTTAAATATTATGAGATTCTGGAACAATCTACAGGCCTGGAGGCTCATGGGCCATGGCCCTTTGTGTTCTTTCACTAAGCCAGCCCTGGAAACAGGCTCAAGATTCTAGTATGGGATATGGCTGAGACAATAAAATCCCCTCTAACTGGGTGAGAGGAGTTGTATCAAGTCTCTGATGGTCCCAACTCTGTCAGACAGAGCAGACAAAATTAAAACCCAGATTCCCTTCATGATAGCTTGTTGCTATTCTTTGCATCTGAATTAGAATGATGCACTGAGGATTATTGAATCAAGGTGTGGGTGGAGATGGTATGAACAAAATAAGAGCAAGCCAAAGTCTTAACCTTTTTCAGATTCAGAGTGGTTTGGAACAGTCTGCCTTCCCAAAAGGAGTCTGGCTCAGTCCTTGAGTCTCCACATCACAGATGCCTTTTAGACCCAGAAGTCTCTTTTTGGGAACCTGCTGCTGTTCCTCTTAAATTTGACATCTCCCAAATGTGTAGGAAGCCCCAGAGTGCATGTGCTCTGCGACTTCTCAGACATCCAGTAACAGAGCCCAGCTGAGAGACCACTAGGTAACATCAACTGTCCTCAGCCTCAAGGGAAAGGGTTTCTGGACTTCCCCTCTATTCAAGGTGCTGGCCGTTTAGAATGATGGCAAAGCAATTCTAAAAAGCTTTCTTGGCACTAGAAGGAAACAGCACTCTCTCCCCAGGCTGTACCTGAAGATCACGATACCACTTCTGGAACCAAAAGTAGAGGTGAGCTGAGGTGGGGAGTATCTGAGATTAGAGGTAAATACTTCATACAATACTTTACTAAGGGCAACTCATTTCTATTCCAATCCCTGTATTCTTTAATTTAACTTTAATACCTTGCATGTAGACAAATGGCCAGATTGATTCTTTCTGGTCCAAATTGGGCCCCCACCAGTGTCAACAACTGAAGGGCAGATGTTCCTCCCTCAGAATTTCATATTGTTTACATTGATTGATGTTCTGGGGCAAAAGAAACCATCTCATGCAAAAGCATGTATTGAGTTATCTTAATCCAACTGAAAAACTTCCCAGTTCAGACTATGATGCCCCTCCAGGGAGCAAACAATTACACAAATTAATAGGTCCCTATCCATTCTGACAATAGCTTTTAATAACGACACTTCAGCTGAGGGTCTTCCTTCGATCGCTATTTCCTCAAAACCAAATATGGGGAAACCAGCTTGAATAAAATAACAAAAGGTGAAGCATCTTTCTAGGATTTATGGACATTTCAATGAGCCGCCTCCCCCAATCTCACCCTGCTTTGCAAAACATGTGTGATAAAGGCAACATTCTTTTCTCTCACACACAACAAATTTCCCAGCTTCTCTCCCAAAATTTGTCCTTTGTATCTTTCTTCAAGACCCTACCATGTCTATTGAGACTACCTGTATAAAAAGCGGATTGTAGCCTTTACTACTAAGCATCACTAATTTTTGCTTTTTATTGGCTGTGAAATATTTGTATGAAAGCCACTATGCAGAAATATATTGCATTACATACATTATGCCTGTGAAAAGAACAACTCACCTAAACACTTGGGGCAACAGTGTCCAGAAGGAATGTGACTGAGATGCTGGGGACATGACAGAATGGGGCAGACTTCTCGTACACACTTTGTCCTGCCTCCCTATGGGAAAATAGGCTCAATTAGAAAAAAGAAAAAACACGTGCACACACACACACACTGGTGACAAGTCTTACAGAAGCCTTAGCAGAAGCAATATTTACCCACATATATGTCTATTCATACCTGGCACAGAGACTTTATGCAACTGCCATACAGCACTTCCTACATTCCTTGCAGAATCTCTACATGTATTACTGTTTTTCACTCTGGTAAACAATGAGCAAGTGATAGCTGCACAAAGAGAAGTGCCTGGCTAACTGATTTCTCAATACGGATGTGGGAAAATCAGGTAGAATAAAAGCATAACCCATGAACCTTTCTTGAGGTTCCAAAAAGCCAGTGAACACATTTTTCACCACATATGCTGCTGCATAGGACTTCTGAGCTTGTCTGAGATAGGAAGCAGAGTTAAAGAACAAAAGTAAGAGGAGGATGGGTATTCTCCAAGTATTTCCACCACTTCAGGAATGCCAAGTAGCCACAATCATTCATGAAAGCACATTCTCAGTACAACTGTGCACACCCAAAAAGTCTGCACTGTTCAGAGAACAAAGAACAGGTAGTCAATGAGATAGAAGGAGTGTGGCAGATAGAAAGAGAGAGGAAAGAAGTGTATACTGAAGGAGCAGGAGAAAGTAGAGGAGAAAATGAGAAAAAAGCAAAAGAGAAACAGCACAGAAAGTGTAAGAATAGAGAAATCAGTTGAAGGAAATCAACCAACAATATAGTGACAAGGGGGAAAGATCAGAAATAAGGCAGGACTTGGTTCAGGGGCAATTTCAAAGGAAAAAGAAGTTGGTCTTGCAGATACAGGGTAGAGAAAAAGGCAAAAGCGTTGGGACTGGAGGAAAAAAAGTGAAGGTGACAGACAGATAAATATTCTTTACTGAAACATTATTTATTACTTGTAATGCAGTAGTGATTCAAGGCCCTAGTTTGGAAGCCGGGCCCTATTGTCCTAGATGCTGTACACACATATAATAAGAAAAGACCATTTGTGTCTCAAAGAGTTTTCAGTCTAAATAATATCCTGCTTTTTATTCTAAAAGGGAGATTTGTAGGGGATGGTGGGGAGTAGGGTGACCAGATCGCAAGTGTGACAAATTGGAACAAGGGGTGAGGGGTAATAGACACCTGTAGAAGACAAAGCCCCTGCCCCTGTGAAATTGGGACATCTGGTCACTCTAGCGGGGAGGGGATATTTTGGCTAAAGATGGAGAGAAAGAAAGACTTTTCCGCTCTCCGCTCTGTTGCCAAAACCTTTCTGTGCACATCTCAAGACCTCAACCAAAATGTCCTCCACACCCAGGACTGGTATCCAGGTTTTTCACTTTTAAAATCTGGCCATCTTTGTCCCATGAAGGGAATTCAGTTAGTTTAATCTAAATGTCCTGCCCAATCCATAATTTAGAGCAAAAGATTCAATCCACAATATACTCTGTATTTCTGGATGCTGCAATGAAAGACTTATGAGTAGTCCACAGCCATATTCCTTCAGGATTCTTCTCTGACCTCCCTTGAAACAGATGGAAAAAGCCATTCTTTTAAGAGTTCACTGTTTGAAATTATGGTACAAGACTCCACCCCCAAACAGTACAATAGTACAGTGAACTATGAGTGAGCTTTTATGTAGCAAGAGCAGACTAATCCATTCTGATACTATTACGAAAAAAATTAATGTACTGTCTGTATCACATACTGTAACAAGATTTCAGACTCAGAACTCTCTGAAAAGAACATTTTTCCCATCTGCCCCAAGGGGGCCAGTGAAGTATCCTGAATGCACATGGCTATGGCCTGGTCATCATTCTTTCATTGCAGCATCCAGGATTACAGAGTTTATTGCAAGCTGAAACTGCTGATCTAAATTATGGATCAGAGAGGAAACTTTGACAAAACTAAATGAATTCCTTCACTGAGGATTCTTCTGATGCTCAGGGAATAGCTCTTTAGGAAGAAGCACAGGTGCAGAATGAGAGAATAAATCTCTCTCCCTGGCTCACGGAAATGGTGCTGTCAATCTATCAAGGGGAAAGCTCATAGAAGACAGAACCCATCCTGAGAAGATAATGTGAATGAGTAATTAGAGCATGGAGCCCTTGATCAGATGGGGGTGGGTGGAGGGAGAAGAACACTGATGCGGGTTAAGGAATGATCTAGTAGCTTGGTTGACCAGAGCCCTGCAATATGAAAGGGCCCCTTCCCACAGCCTCACCTACGGATTTTGTTTTCTGCATATACACATCCCCCAAACTGTTTTGCAGCCCCACTTCTTTGACTGATCAAGCCAAAACTCAGGTGCAATCCTTCATGGAGAAACCCCTTTCTAGTCTGTTCTGTTCTGCTTAGGTTTTTATACTACACTCCTCACAGTGCATTGAAGAGTTTAGGTGTGTATATATTTTAACCCACTGTATGGTTTCTGAGGTTAGCCTGTCAAGCCCATGTTCAGGGCTGAGTAGGGGAGTTAATGCAGTTTTGTTCATCCTACCTCAAATAAATTTCATCATCTCTGCATTTGATTTATAATTCCCTTGGTGAATCAGGAATGAAGATCCTAAAAAAGGGGGAGCCTCTAATCATAAATGTTCTCTTTTCCTCCAGATCACCTCAGCCCTGGCTCACATTTACAAAACAGCTTCAGTTCATCTCCTCAACAAGATTGGCTGCCGCAAAGCCACAATTGGCAAATATCCTCAGCTTAAATTATATCACATGGTACAGAAGGTCTGGTTATTTCCAGCTGAACCTTAATTAAATGGGGGATGGTATTATCCCCCCAAACACCTAAAAGCACCTCCTTCTGAAAATCAACCCCCCAAAAAGGTGTGGCAAATTGGGTATCCAGAAACTAAAGCACCCAAAGCCACTAGCCACTTTTGTAAATCTTGATTGTCACTAAACATAACCAATATATAGGATATTAAACAGAGGTCTAGGGGATATTTTATCATCAGGAATCTCACAAAATGTTGTTCAGAAAAGGCCCTAGGACATGTGTTTTCCACCAAACAGAAATATGTTTTCATTTGATAAGAAGGGCCCTACCAAGTTCACGGTCCATTTCGGTCAATTTCACAGTCATAGAATTTTTAAAATCATAAATGTCATGATTGCAGATATTTAAATCTGAAATTTCATGGTGTTGTAACTGTAGGAGTCCTGATTCAAAGGGGGGTTGTGGGGGAGTCGCAAGGTTATCGTAGAAGGGTCGAGGTATTGCCACCCTTACTTCTGCACTGCTGTTCATGGCAGCGCTGCCTTCAGAGCTAGGCAGCCAGAAAGCAGGACTGCTGGCCGGAAGCCCAGCTCTGAATGCAGTGTCATTGCCAGCAGCAGTGCAGAAGGAAGGCTGGCAGGGTATGGTATTGCCACTCTTACTTCTGCGCTGCTGCCTTCAGAGCTGGGCAGCCGGAGACTGGTAGTTGCTAGCCAAGGGCCCAGCTCTGAAGGCAGCAGCGCAGAAGTAAGAGTGGCAATACCATTCCATGCCATCCATGTTTCTGTGCTGCTGCTGGCAGCGGCACTGCCTTCAAAGCTGGCCTCTCAGCCAGCCACTTCTGCTCTTCGGCTGTCCAGCTCTGAAGGCAGCACAGAGGTAAGGGTGGCAATACTGTGGACCCACAACAATAACCTTTTGCCTCCCCCGCCTCTCCTTTTTGGGTCAGGACCCCCAGTTTGGGAAATGCTGGTCTCCTCCGTGAAATATGTATAGTATAGGGTAAAAGTACACAAAAGATCAGATTTCATGGGGGGAGACCAGATTTCACGGTCTGCAACGTGTTTTTCATGGCGGTGAATTTGGTAGCGTCCTATTGATAAGTAATGCTAAATGGTTGTTTGTTTTTGCCTTTTATTTTTAGTTCCTTTGTGCTCAGCACCTTTTTCCATTCTGCTCACCTCTCCTTTCCCCCATCCAGGAATTTTCTCTCAAACTGAATCATGTCTGGCTTTTTATCACTGGTTTCTGATTCCAGCTGTTATGCTGTTTAGGTCCTAAGAGTGAAGCAACATTCCAGGTCTCTGCTACCCAAGATAGATATTCCAGACTTACATGTCATCATATGGTGTATGTTCAAAAAGACATAAAACAAATCAACCTATTTAATTTAAAATAATAGTAACTCCACTTGGTCTTCAGCTATTACAGAGAGTTGGTGAGTTTCAAGCTTTAAGAAAACATCAAAACCTGTACAATGCTATGATCTGGACCTTTATTCTCCTAAAAACACGTAGCATTACTTGTCCTGAGTTCAAAATCCCAGGAGGAGTCCCCAGTGCTTCAAACAGCATGAAAAGAAGTTGTGTATATATACAATATGTTGCTACAATAGGTCAAGAAAAAAGCAAATGGAAAATAGCTTGTTGCCCTCTTTCCCAGTATTAACTTTGATTAACTGAAGAAATTCCTACAGAAAATTACAAATTACAAATTATTTTGCTGTGACAAAATCAAATGGCTATATCCATAATACAAGCGAGAATAGGGAAAGTACAGGTTAAATACTATCTAGAGAAGTTAGAAGTATTCCAGTCAACCGGGCCTGATGAAATTCAACCCTAGGGTGCTTAAGGAACTAGCTCAAGCAATCTCAGAACCATTAGCAATTATCTTTGAGAACTCATGGAGGATGGGTTAGGTCCCATAGGACTGAAGAAAGGCAAACTTAAAAAGGGGAACAAAGAGTATCTGGGGTATTATCGACCAGTCAGTCTAACTTTGATACCTTGAGACATGTTCAAACAAATTATTAAAAATTAATTTTTAAGCACCTGAAGGATAATGGGGTTATAAAAAATAGCCAACGTGGATTTGTCAAGAACAAATCAGTCCAAATCAGCCTAATTTCCTTCTTTGAAAGGATTATTGGCTTAATGGGAAGCAGTAGACATGATTTATCTCAATTTGACACTGACCCATATAACATTCTGTGACAGGGTGCTGGGCAAAGGGTTGCTGACTCAGCTCTCTGTCACACCAGCTCCCATTTAGGGGGCTA